ACTGATGTGACTGAGGGACTATCTGGCTTTCAGAATATCTTGCGAGATATGATTCCTGGTGTAAAGGTTAAGGTCTTGAAAGTGACAGCGCCTGGAAAAGCAGACAGGGATTTTATATCTAAGGTTATTGAGCAAATAATGGAGGAAGAAGATAAAGATGATGAGGTAGAAAGTTTAGAAGGGAAAGATGAAGGGAAAGATGACAGTGACCAAGAGAAAGATGAGATTCAAATTGATTCTAGTAATGAAATTATTGATAATGATGGGAAAAGTGAAATTGCTGTCAAAGTTGTTGTTGGCAGCCTTGCACAAAAGCTTTCCGGCAGTATGCCTGCTACAGAATCACTTAGAGTACCTGCTAAGTTGGAGAAATGGGGACGTTTTACATTTTCCTTTTCTATAGAGGAAGATATCAACCAACAAGATTCTAATTTGAAGGAACAAGCTTCCGCTAGAAAGGCTAAGCTCCAGGGCCAACGCAGCATTGATAATGTTATGTCTGATCTTGCTAAACACATTGGTGGAGAGAAGATACCATTGAAGGTAGCTTCTACATGTCTCATGCATATCTGTAGTTATTGTAGAAATGAGATTAATTAACTGTTTTGCAGTCAAGCTTCTTTCTGTATGGTGCTCCATTTTTTTTTATCAAATTTCGACCATGCAGGTACTGAAAGATGTTGGTGAATTGATAAATCTCACTCTCAGCCAGGCTCAAAATCATCAACCATTTTTTGGATCTACAACTTTTCATCGCATTGAGATACCATCATCCCAAGATCCTCTAAATGGTGATTTTTAATGAGACCTTTGGTGCTATGTTGGCCATTCAAATCAACATAAAGTAATGTATTTAGATTGCTTGTGTGATTAGGCTTATACATTGGTGCACATGGGCTTTATACTTCAGAAGTTATTCATCTGAAACGGAAATTTGGTCAGTGGCAAGATGATGGTGGAACAAAGGAGGCTTCAGATCTAGAGTTCTATGAATATGTTGAAGCAGTGAAGTTGACTGGTGATCCTTATGTACCTGCTGGCCAGGTGATTGTTCATTTTTTAGCCTTTGGTTGTACATGTTACTAGTGGAGCTATAAATACAGATACTTAATTTTGCATGTTGTAACATGGCAGTCTGTCATATTGTCTTATTTTATCATTGTCTGTTTCCTCCTCTTGTCCTCTTTCTGTCCCTGTGGTTTTCTTTGTAATAGTACTGGTATATAGTTTGTGACCTGAAAGATTTATACGTCAATTTTGTTTTTCACAGGTGGCATTTCGTGCCAAGATTGGAAAAAGATATCAGCTCCCACACAAAGGAATCATTCCTGAAGAACTTGGAGTGGTTAGCTTGTGAAATTTAACTTCTTTTGTGAGCTTTAGTTGTTCTTTTACTCCCTTCTTCTTTGATCACTCATGCAACTGTTGAAAGAGATTGTTGTGGGCCTATTTTCAACTCAGGTTGCTCGATATAAAGGGCAAGGAAGGCTGGCTGAGTCAGGGTTTCGAAATCCTAGATGGGTTGATGGTGAACTTGTTATTCTTGATGGAAAGGTTCTACTAGTTATTCTTGAATCTCCTTTTTGTCCTCACTTTTCTTAGAAGCATAATTCATCTTTTTCTTTGCCAATGGGATGCTAATCATTTGATATTTAATTTTCTTATTTATACAGTACATCAAAGGAGGGCCTCTTGTTGGATTTGTATATTGGGCTCCTGAATATCACTTTTTGGTGTTCTTCAATCGACTAAGGCTTCAACCTTAGATTTCTGTGTACATAATGTTGAGATTGTTTCTTCTCTTCCCTGTTTGAGCAACACATGCAGGATACAGTAAGTACTTTCTCACCATGAAATAGGTCAGGGCAGTACATAATGAGCTTATAAATATAGCTGATGTAACCTTGAATTCTCTTCTTTTTTAAGGAACAAGTTTAACAATCAAGTTATGCTTCCATAGACCTGACTACACATATACCTGTTCCCTGTACTTGTTATCAATATGCTAGATCACCCATTGCTGCATTACTTACTAAATGAGATCTAAGTGGCTCTCATTTATAGCCATAAATAAATTCGCAACCCCTAATGCTCTTTTCAGTGGTTAATAAAATATCAGGTATTTTTGCTGATCATCCATTTAAGATAGACACAGAATATTGCAGTTTTACTAGTTACCTGTGGGTTTCTCTTTATTTTAACTTTAAATGACAGATGATCAGCCAGTTAAGGTCTGACCAAGGAAAAATATGCATAATCTGAATAATGGTAATTTCTGATCTATCCCTACAAGATTGGATTCATATTGATTTTTAATGATAATTGATAGGGATTGTTAATTTGTTTGAATGGGGTCTGGGTTTGTGTACTTTACAATCATCATAAAGTTTGTTTGACATTTAATTTTTTGGCGTGACAATGGTGTCCTGCCTTTTGGCCTAACTAGTCCCATGGGCACCTGTCAATTGCCCATCCATAGGCACTGGGGAAGGCTCCACCCAAGGGTGGCAGGTGTAGCCTATTGGGATTTTTTTACCAAAATGGAGATTCAGGGATTTGAACCTGCTTTTCGAGCAGGCTTCAAAACTATTATTTTTTTGAACTTAGGTAATTTTGGGTGGGGAAGTAGATATAGAACTCCAGCCCTGTTAATAGAAACTCAAGATACTGACCAACTAGGCTATGGCCTGAATTCTTGTTCTTTTAAGTTTCTTTCTCTGGGGTCTATATTGCTGAATCATAATTGGGGAATTTACCCCATCATCATTATGAAGCTTACGTCTTCTTGGAGCACGTTTGAGAAGATATTCTATATTGAAAATTTTCTTAATTATTTTTGTTTTGCAGTTGATGGTTGTTACCTGATAGTAGAGCAGTGAAGTGAAGAGAGTATCGGCTTCATATTCACTGTCACTGGACTAAGCAATATGGAATAAGCACAATAACTGAGTGGGAGTAACATGAAGCTTAGAGTTCAGCAGAAGTTTGGTCCTCCATTGCTTGAGTTTTTGTAAAGTTCTCCCCATCAATGTATGTGTTATTTTTTAAAAAATCCAATCAAATTCTAACTACCAAGCCTGTCTGAATTATCTTTAGCAATTTTGGCTTAAGCCAGTATAGTTTTACAGATTTCTAACTAGTTTCAAGTTCATAGGTGGAGTTACAAATGTAAAATGGTTGAATGCCCGAACTCGAAGTCAGAATATTCAAGGCTTGTGGGATGGCCTTTTGTGATCCATTGTTGGATAAGCTTTAATCCTTTTCTTTTTTCTTTTTTCTCTCTTTTTATTTTTTTATTTTTTTTATTTTTGTATTTTTTTTCTAAATCATTATCATATTTCTGCTGTCATCTCTTGGTAATTGTCAATATAAATGCTGGTTTAACTAGCTATTGAGTAGTTGCCATTGTGCTTGTTTGAATGGTCTTGCATAACCTTGCAAAAAATTGCAGGTTTGTTAGATTGACCTTCTTACTCGCTTTTTACCATTTTTGCGAGTTAGCTAAAAAAGTTCAGAACTAAAGGCAAAATCTGGTAGTTTGGAAACAAGTCCAGCGAGTAGCCTTTTTTTTTTTTTTTCTCGTAAAATTGAGAAATATGATTTTGTGGCCTGGAGACTTAATGCGGTAAGTAATTTTATAATAGGGGTTTATTGGTAGCACTGCCACTGGCAAGGCAGCATCATTTACATGTTTGGGCGGAGTAGAATGGGGTGTAGAAAAATTTTTCTATTTAGTTATTAAACGAAATATTTAAAAAAGAGGAAAGCAAGAAAACAGAAACTTTGACTTTGTTATTGTTTTTTAATTAATTTATTTACTCAAGTGAGGGGAGAGGATTCTTACATCTCCTTTTATTTTTTTTCTCCTCCATTTCTTTTAATCCAAAGATATTATTAGACTCAAAGTGCAAGGTCCTACTAGCATAGATTATTTTGCTTTCTTGTAAGGTTGCAGTTACTAATTTTTATCCTAATTTAGTTATTAAGTATAATTGACAAACAAGTAATATTTATTATTTAATAAATTAAAATTAAAAAAATATTTATTAGTTATTTTTATTACAAAATTAGATG